TTAAATGTTCAGATAATAATGTTTAGGCTTATATATTATGTTAGACTCAGCAATAATCCAGAAAAACTGCGGTATAACCGGCGTACAGTCTAAACGAAACCTATACACTGCAAACATACAGCAACATAACACGTAACAAAGTAACATCTTGTTTTATAAGCAAGCGCTCCTATGTCCGTTATAATGCAATTACATATAAAGACGGCATACATATTATTAATATACAGAGCTCAGACTACCATATGACAGAATATTGCCCCATCTGTATATTGATACAGTTTATATACTAGTATATGATCATATTAATCATACATAATGATAATTATCCACACAACCAAACAGAAAAATATGCAAACTAAACATAGTTAAACATCTAAAATTCAGCCTACATTCAAATAAGCAGTAAAACCTGGAGGACGGTGTCCTTATTTCAAGGACGTTGTGCTTCTGGTCCATTGGAATACCGCCAATCCTGGATTTACCAACTGCATTATAGAAGCATAGAGATATTTCAAACAAAAACGGAATTACAAGTAAAATTACGAACTCTGAAAGTAGAAGTACTTTCATTTTCGTCAAATTTCGTGTTTCACAAGAAAAACTGTTTTTCTGAATCAGTTTCAAATTCACAAAAATGTTTATCATCAGACATACGGCATTCTGAGGGTTCCTCACTAAATGATGTTCTAGAGCATCTTTACATGCATCAATTGAGGTAAATGCGCTTCGTGAACGCCTGCCAGCATTCTGACCACTGTTCTATGTCCGATGCGTTCATAACGTTTTTCGTTTTATTCCAACAAAATGAGGATGAATATAAAAAGCTAGAAATCTTAGCGGATTACATGAACGGAAGAGATGCCAATGGACGAATACGTTTTGCCATCAAGGTGGAGGTGAATCACTCTATATTCTGTTTGGACTTGCTAGTGAAGAGGACACCGCCCTTGAGTTTGAAGTTTTTGTCTATCGGAAACTAGCCCCCTTTAATCGATCCCTCAATCCTGCGTCATGCGTACTCCTGGTTTGCTTAGGAACGTTGTGAAAAATATGGGTAATGAGTAACACAACTACCGACAAACATCCGTGTCTGTGTGTGCGTGTGTCTATGTGTGTGTTAAGCTTTAATAAAACGGCCTTGTATTCTTGTTTCAGAGGTTTTTATTCACTTATGCACCTTCGTTCCACACACCAACACAGTAATTCCTACGAATCAACAAACTGGAAGTAAACAACTGATTAATTGTCGTTGAACATCGACCGAAAATGATAGCAATTTACAACGATTACGAAACGACCAGTATCATCTAATGGGAATAAAGATGCATTAAATGAAACTAGACAACGATGAATCGTCGGTTCTCGTGCGTTGCGTCTCACTTGCCAACTGAAAAACACTCAAAGGGAAACTCAAAAATGGACGAATGACTAACGCTTTGACGAAAATCAGCGCTTTACGAGACGAAAACATTGTGTTGTCGACGAGTGATGGTTGAACAAAGCAGATTTCCCTCTAAACTACGAATGCACCGACGTGGAATCAAGACAGTTTTGGGTGAAGCTCA